CAATTATAAACTTGAACTCCTGAATTTATATTCTGCATCAATTTATCAATTTATATTCAGTCCATTTCAACAAACATTGATTCATACAAAAAAAAAACACACATAAATACGAATAAAAGGTGTAATTAAGACAAATGAGGTCGCCCATTTCTTCATTGAGTGTGTCGATGTATTGCCAAACTTCTACATGTTTTTGGATGATAATGTCCACTTTCTGTCGCAAGAACCGCTGTTTAATATTTAACTCAGCTATTTCTTCAGACATTTTAATCAATCTTTTGTGTAGAATATACCCCATTAATGTTGTTCGGAGACAGATTCCTATCGTATGACCAAGTGTTTACAGATAATGCAAACCATGTAGAACAGCGTCTAGAAACGCTTCGGTATCTGCTCCGTTCTGATTTTTTATTTCCGTGAATAATATCATTTCTGCTACAACATTTGTTACTATGGCTGCAATAAACGTAAACTGCAACGGAAAAAGTAAATATTTTTCCATTTCCTTAATTTTTTTTCTTTCCCTTCGTATGAACTCAACACGCAATAAAAAGAAATGTGTCTCCTTTTCAGAATGCTGTATTGGACCGATAGATAACTCGATATTAGTGCATTTACTATTGATCCTTTGAATGCATTTTCCTTGTACATATTGTTAACTCGTAAACGTAAATGTTGCCGTCAATTAACCTTACCAAAAACAGAATATTGACCAACCAGAGAAAGAACTCTACGAAATGCGTGTAGATTCGAAAGAGCAGAGAAGATGCAAGGTGTCTCTTTTGATCAGTGTCATTCGAAACACATGAAAACGGTTTCATCATGATCAATCCAAATGTTGCAATAGAGTTCATGTAAGGATCCAGCTAATAAGTGATACACACCATTTTGTCAATAGAGAATGGATCATATATTAATAAAGAGTCAAAATTTCTGTTTGTGTGTAATAATACAGTTTATTTTGATATATATCTATATATTTAGTAAAAAGACGTGAAACCTATGCCAACAGCGTTACTGAACGTTATTCCGGAGAAGTTACCATAGTTATAGCAATGATTTTCTAGATCACACAATATGCAATTAAAATAGGGAATTTCCATTTTAAAACGATATACGTCTACTTGCAGATAAATATAAAGTCGTAAAATTGTAATTTTCACCATTTAAAATTTTATGGGTTTTAATTTAATAGATTTCATGTATATTTACCATTCAAGTGTATTCATTCATTCATTCCAGCGATTAATTTATTATATTTATAACATGACTAACCGTTTCGTATTTATATTGATTAATCTTACATAATCTTAAAAGATGAATAGATTTTAATATTATTTTATAATTTATTAGAAATATGATGCAGCCCACTTCAGCTTATATAATATAAAATTAAAATAAGTATATAAAATTTCAATAACGTATTTTCGGATTCATTATTTTACTTATATAAAAGTATATTAATAAAAAAAATTTTATTGTCCACAAATGAATTTATATTAGAAAACAGAATAATTTAAAAGTAAAATAATTTGAAATTAATATTGATTATAAATTGGATAACCAAGAGAAATAGCTTTTACGTAAGTTGTTATTTGGCCTTATTAGTAAAGTATTCATATTTAATCTGACTGATTAAATTCATCGATTACATAAGCAGTAAATAAAAGAATTGATGGCATCAATAAATTTTATAGTCAAACAACAAGAATTTAAAGCAGAATTTATTATTAGTTTGTATTTAAACTGATAAGCTTATTCTGATTGGAATGCATTTTATGAGATTTTCGAATAATTTCAATTTACGTAACACCAGCATTTCTCGAACAATATTAAAATGATCAACTTTAATGTGAAAAGCGCGTTGCCAGAATGGAAAAATATGCAAATTTTAATTTTAATTTTTTATTTTATGACTTAAGACAGGAGTTTATTATGCATATTATCAATTAGTTAAAACTTGTAAGAAAGTTTCAAAGCTTCATGACATCGAGATAATAGAAAGAGCAAATGAATAACATGCACCAAAAACAGTAATTACATTTTAAACACTAATTATGAAATTTGGCTACTTGTATTTAAACTCTATGAATCTTCGCCAAGATTGGTGCATTTCTCTATCAGTATAACTATTTATTCTATTATTTTGTCTAATTATATTAATATGTTCATAAAGTTGTCTTTTGTAATTATTTTTTTCAATCATGGCGAAGATTCATACAAAAAAGTGTGTCTAAAAAATAAAAAGAACAATTGAAAGAAGTGGAAACGAGGTGCCCCCACCAGTGGGCGAGCGGTCTCCGTTGCTGTTCATAGCGGTAACCAGACCCTAAACACTGGGAAGTTCTGTCGTGGGTTCGCGCCACGATCGGACAGGCTGGCTGTTTGGAGTTTTCCGGGTTTTCTCCTTGCCAATAACGACTGAATAGGAGGCCAGTTCCCCATAAAAGTCCTCCCAAAAGGCATTATTTCCCGCGTGCGCGTATAGGCCGTTCGGATACGGCTGGCTCTTCGATCTCCTAGCGATCATAACCAAATGTCTGTCGGAGAAAGAGCCTATATAAGCTAAAATCTCTATATCAACATCTGAGAAGAAGAAGAGAAGCGGAAACGAGGTGTTAGTCAAATGGATCAACAACAAATGTAAGTTGTAACAATAGTGAACAAATGTAAAAAAACTTATATAATGTTAATATAATTTGTTTAATACAGTTTTAAGATCACAGTAATACTGCTTTTGTTAGTGAAATTTGAATATCCAGTTGAGTTAAAAATAAAGGAAAATTTCAAAATTGTAAGAATTTTATTAAATAATTTTAAATATGTATTTTATTATTTATAGAATATACAAAAATACCTGCTTAGGAGGGACAAATGTGTCCGAAACGCAAAATTATGTATGTGTCCAGGTATATTAAATAAAATAAAAAATTGTTTTCTGTAAAAACTTTGTAGCATTATCTGTAAAGCTAGCATAATAAGTCTTGATAATAGAAGATACTAAATTATAAATGAAAATTTATATTTTAGAAGGCATACTTTATTTGTTAGTTGTTCGATATATTTTTATTTATAAGAAGTAAAAATGGTTTATAATGGTTTATTATTTGTTTTCACAACCTATAAGGAATTATTTATCATTTGCAGTACACAAAATTTATTTCAATATTATATAAATTTAGGCTGAATTCACAATTACAGAAAAAAAGCTCTAATAACTGTAATCACAATTTTCAATGTGAATTCTGTGTTTTGCACGAATAATCGTAAAATTTATACAACAAAATAAAAAAAATAACCAACTTTTTCGCCGTGTAATGCCAGTTCACATTATTAGCAGCGCTACATCTGCATTCATTTCTGCTTAATCTACATTCGTTTCGGATTTAAGCTAAACATAGTTATATGTTACCATTCACTTTTTTTTCTTTAAGAGCAGCCATGATTTTGAAGCAGCGTCACAACTATTAACAAATGTCAAAACAGACGTTTGGCAGCTCCCGCGGTTTCTCGTTTTTAGCACAGCAGAGACATCAATAAAATCGTAAACACGTCATCACTTCTAGAGTTCGAATTGGTCGACATCTACATCTTACGGCCAAAAAACTTTTCCACTAAAGATTTCTCGAGTTGGTTTGTTAGAAATTTTACGCGTGTGCGATGTTACAATTTTCTGGATTTGGTTTTCAGTTTATGTTTTGAGTGTTCTTTTTCTATAAGTGTGAGTCCAGCCTTATTTCGAGTACTACATAATTTACACATTCAAAAAAGAAACTAAACAACGTTACAAAAGTTATTACATTATTTTTTTGAAAAACGTATAAATATATTAAACTAAAATTATTGTAATATATTACATGAGATTTGGCAAAATTACACGAGACATTTTCGAAATACATTAGTTCGAAATAACACGATAATTATAATTACGTAGCATATTTTCAGTATATAAGCACCATATTGTCTTTTTTCTGTTTATCGAGATTCGTACGAACAGTTCTCGACTTCACCAGATCGATTCTTTGCATTCTGTTTTGTACTAATCTAAAATGCAACAACCTTTTCCGCTAACAATTGGTGGCTCTCTCTGTTATAAATATTTCATTAAAATTTTTTTGTTCAATTAACTACTATAAAATGGCAGAAAGCTTAACTTTCACGATAAGATGTGTTTTATAAAAAATTGTAAATAATAACACCGAGTGAAATCGACATTATTTCTGCATTTCAAGGGTGTTCAAATGTTAATTTCAAGTTATTTTAATTAAGTGTACAGAACAACAAATTAAACTATGTTGAAAAATGACATCACTGTTTTCTACTTATAACATCTAAAACAGATATAAGCCAGAAAATTTTGGTTTCTACTTCATATCTAGCATATTTACTGTGTAATTAATAAGCGAAAAATTTTCTGTGAATCTTTTCGATAATTAAGCATAGGAGAGACAATACATAACCTGTGATGAGTAATAGTATTGGGCTTATAATATGATCGATGGATAAAGTATGATATTCTGAAGTTGAGATCATTCTATTAGAATTATCAGCATAATCGATTTTGTGCACAATTCCGGATTCAAATAGGCGAAGGATGATGTAAAAAAATAAATTCATTTTAACTATATCCGAGGAATATTAAATGAAGAAAATAATAGCTTACATTTTCTTTACTTTCTTCGGAAAAGGAAAATCTTTCCTCATTCCGTAAGCTACTTCAAATACAGAAAATGAATCGGTCGAAATTACAAACTTGTGTAAATTTTCTTTTTTAATTAATTTCTGTATTATATAAGTATTTAATATGAAAGCAAATTTTTCTTGTTCTACTCTTTCTATGGCTTTCGATGCTTTTAAAAAGTTGTCGTTTCGTATGATGTGATCTCGTAGTATTTTACCAGTGTGCAATTTGGAATTCTGAAAAAGTGTTAAAGTTTGATTTGTGATAAAATAATATAAATTATTTATAAGTTTTTAGTTTATTCAATACATTTACTCACACGAATGGATAGCCATAATGCTGCTTTACTGTTAACTCCAAAAGAATATTCACCTCTCAAGACAGAATTTGCTAATTCTTCAAATGTTTTCGGAACTTGTTTAGACACAGGATACGTCATAAATGACATTAGTGTTCCGCTATAACTTGATACTAGAACCAAGATAGACAAACACCATATTCCTATCAGAAATCTGGACGAGAACTTCTTCACTGAATCCAAATTTATTCCTAAATATACAAACTTCGATATAAAAAGAGAAAATAGTATTGTATAGAAGTAATGATTGATCTTACCTTTATACAAAAAAATGCAAAATAAATTCCAGAAGATCTTATTTCTTGACCAATATACTTCCATATCCTGTGCTATAAAATCTCGTTGAAGTACTTTATGTAATATCAAACCATACATAATCACGGTTAGAAATATATGGATCCATAACTACAATATATAAACAGTATAATTACTGTCAAATGTCACTTTCTAAACAACAATTTCTTACCATAAAGGAGAATGGGGCAGTGATAGATTTCCAGTCTGTGAATATTTCCGGAGCTTTTACAATGAAAACGGTGTGCTGGAAGTCTATTGTTGTAGAATACTCCAATACAAAGAAACGATCCAAAGTAACATAAAATGGAGTAATTCCCATATCTGCTTCCTAATTAAAGAAAAATGATTTTATTATACTTGACTTGCAGAAAGAAATTTTCGGACAGAATATTTGGAGTCATAAGACACCGTAGTAAATTTTCTGCGGTAATATTATCTATGAACGAAGATTTTTTAATTCTGAAATTGTTTGTTTATATTTCGAGTGTTACGTTCAAAAAACTTTACGTTCTATTTTGTAACGATAATCGTACGCCGAGGATGGCCTATAATAAATAAGTTGAAAACGTTTAAAATAAAATAATTTTAGCTCGGCAAAATTCAGGTGTGTTCTTATAATTAATTTAAATTCTACTTGATGTTTGTAGGAATGTTGGTAAAATACGATAGAAAAAGTTTATCATTGTATATAATACAGACAGTAATCCGTTTTATTATATATAGATATATAATATATTTTAAATAATTATAATTTACATTACCTTATTATTGTATGTTATAACTATTGTTATAGTTATTTGCTAATTTACCCAAGATTCTTTGGTTCAGAAAATTCTGAAAAGTTATGGAAATTCCGAGATAATTACTGTTACAACAATGTTAAATTTGACATCATACAAAACGATTTTATTAGCAGACTGGGCAATGATAACTCACTAATTTGTCGTCAGATGTCAACGAAAACCTTTTTTCAATTATTTTTATATGAATTCCCAATAGAAAATTTTTAAAAACGTAGATATATTTTCCACGGATTATTTTGTATTTAATTACAATAATTAACAAGTAATTATAATAGTTACAATAATTATAATAATCATAAATGTAAACTATTTAATATTGTATAAATAACAGCATAGCGCCATTTATTAATTTATTAACTGATCTGAATTTTTGAGTTTTAATAAACATTTACGTTGTAAAAAAATTTAATTGTATTCTGACAAATAAAATTTTAACGTTCAAACAATGAACAATTATTAATTCCTATATAAATATTCTGTGTTTTTAAGAGCAATTTTACCGACAAATATGTACATAAATGTTATTAAATAGACTGTTATATACTTCAAGTTATCGTATAATAATATAATTATTTTACTTGCCTTTCTTGAAAGTTTTCCAACCATTTCAGTCCACGTTCCATTTTCCAATAATCGCCCGTAAAAAACGTCTAACGGCTTAACAATGGTATAACTAATTAAATTTATAAGACACATAATTAGATCAATTAATTATATTAGATTTAACAAAATACAAATTGCAAAAGTAGTCATTATATTTATTGTTATTTTAATTGCTTTTTAAACAGAAATCTTCTGTTATATATCAATCGAAATCAAAGAGTTTCTTTTCATAATACAATAAAAATTCGTTACTTTAACACGAATCTGACAACAGTGGTGACGAGCTAAACAGTGCAAAATATTTTTAAATTGCCACAAATGATGTAATTGCGTCGAATTTCAGGTTATTTGAAACGAAAAACGCAAAATAAACATATCAAATTTCAACTGGCTGTAATTGATCTCCTGTTTTACGGATTCCCATCGGGTTTGTTTGTAATTGGAGAACAAATATGATGCTTTCAAGTGAAGTAAGTAGAAATTTCTCACTTGTGCGTGAAAATTTGTCAACAGACCCCGCGTTACTTCCTACCGTTAAAGTTAATAATCGTTAATTGTTTTATCACTCTACTTAAAACATTTCTTTCTGAGAGGTTAATCGACTAATTTACAAAGTTTTTACTGCATTTTACTCATAAAAATGCATTTTTTAAAATGTGACAAATAATTTTTTTGATCTTTACATATTAATTTTATTTTTAATTTTTAATGTGATGCAGTGGTGTGTTAAGCTTAAATTGACCACCTAATAATAAAATTGACATCGCTCATAATATTATAAAATCCATCAAAATTCTTTGCTAATAGTTTAGATAAAAATGTTATCCATGCATGAAATAAAGCGAAGAAAAACAAAATAATAGATGGACCATCAAAAATTTGGCAATTTACATGGTGTCAAATAAATAAATTATTTTATTTATAATTAAAAATAATCTTGAAATTTCATCAAAAATGCGTTTGCGACAATATCTAAATAAAATTTTCACACAAGATACAAAAAACGTACAATTAGTGCCATTTGAATTAGCATAATTAATTTTGAAAATTTCTGTCACTATTATTTCTCTCGGGTCACTACGCGATTTCTCGCAGAGTATAATGAGACTTCCCTGTATGTAATAATAAATTGCGATATCTAGCTTTAAAATCGGACTAGCATCGTTGTTATTCTTTAAATAAAAAAATTATTAGGAGAAAAAATTGTCAGCGAAAAAAATGATAGCGATGGTCGCGATCGATGATAGCGATAATCGCCAGCGTGTTTTCAATGCCGAATATTTCCGATCCGAAAGATCGCGCGGAGTCTGTGAGACGCTAGCAATTTTTCAACTGAAATAAAAACGTTATTTATTCATTTTTTGCAGCGCGAAAAAATTAAATAATTTGAATTTTTTGAAATTTTCGGAAACATTTTAAAAAAACTGTTGCTAAAAAACTGCCACCAGGCGTCTGACAGACGTATTTTTCTCCGGTAAGAGTTAGATATCATCGATCAAATTCAAACTAAGGAATTCTTACGTACTCTTATAATTTTGTCAGAATCAGAGTCGCTATAATCTCACCAGGGTAAGTTGACAAGATTTTTCTGCCAAATAATGCGTTTAATTTCTAGGTCAACCTAGACATTACTAAAACGGCACAAGTGGGTGCAATCCTTTGAACACTTGAGTTTTTTACAATTATGGACTTTAGTGGCCATGTGGCTCAGACCTGCATGGCATAGAGAAGTGCTGGCTGAATTACACCCCTGCTTATTAGCATTAAGCCCAAGTCCCCATGTGTTCTTCGCAACACTAATGAGGGCATTAGCTGACTTTTTATCTTTGTTTGTGATGTACTTCATATGGGGTGTGAACTTAAGTTTTTCATAAAAAGTAACATCTAAATATTTAATTTCTGTATTTTTTCGTCTATTCGAAGGGTAAACTTCCTGACAAGTGGCGCATTCCTACCAACTATCATGCTTTGGCGTTTGTCTGTGTTAATAGGTTGCCTATGCTTAATACTCCACTTGTGAATGTCATTGTGAATATCGTTGCAAATATCCTGTAAGCATTCACTGTTCCTGTGTGAAGCAAGGATAATTCTGTTGTCTGCATAGCCTGGCTGTCACATGCTAATGTGACAGCCAGGAGACAGGGCATCGTTTATTTGCAAAATAGAGATATGGGGTATGTTCCAGTGACCAGGACCAATCCATGATCTTTGAGGACAGTCCTGAGTGATGCATATGACTATGTTATTTTGTGTTGTATAAACATTTGCACTTTTGTCACTAAGATAGGACTGAAAAAGTTTCTAAAAATATTGAGAGCAGTGATTAGCATGTAAATAGTGGAAAATAAAAGCCTCTAGACTTAATAAAAGGCACTTCTATATTCTATAGTAACAATTTTAGTATGCTGATTGTTTTGTTTATCATGATAGATGTAGTTAATGACCTGATGAATGATATTTAGTAGTTAATGACCTGATGAATGATATTTACTGCACCTTTGTTCTTAGAGAATCTCAATCGATTCTAAAGCAGGGCTATGCTTATGTATATGCCGTGTGATCCTGTTAATTATTAGACTGTTTAACTCTCGGTTGAAAGCCGAGCTGCCTTTTTGGGAAGGCAGATTGGCTTCCTGGGAAAAGGCAGCTCGGACTGTATTTTTTGTAAACGCTGGTTAGTTTAAGGAGCAATTTGACACTAGCCTCTTTCTACTGAGTACGAAAGAGGCCAGTGTTGAAGCAGATATTGAAGCTACAAACGCTCTAGGATTGGCCTCTAAGCGTGTTTTATCATCCTAGTAGTTATGCAGTCAAGACCTGAGGTTTTATTATTAGTGAGCAAACTGATGGCACCCGAAACCTTAATATAGGCGAAGTTGCAATCTTTGTCTGTATTTGTCAGTAAAACCAAAAATACTCGAAAACTTGTCGACTGAAAAAAATCAAAATCACAGGGAAAGCTACACACCTGAAGTCCTAACTAACTGCAAGATAAGAAGTTTCTAAATTAAAAGTTTAGAAAAAGTCTTTGAAAAATTTGATTTACAAAGATTAGTGTATTAATATCTAACATTTCTCTTAAGAGATGTGTAAATTTACCCGTACAAAATGTTTTTCTTTCAGAGAATTTCCAGCTAAAATACGCAGAAATATTTGTTTACAGCTAAAATATATACAGCTTGTTAAGTTAACATTTTGAACTATATATTATTGAAAATTTTTATACTGTAATTTTAATGGCACATGGACGAAAAAAAAATTAGAAAACGCATTCAAATTTATTTATCAATGTGACCAGAACCTTGGCTATTGTAAGAGTAACTTTACAATTTTCTTACACAGTTATCTGGTAAAAATGCTGTTTTAAAAAGCGATATAAATAGAAAATGATAAGACTTTAACTAATTTGATTATAGTATATGCAGATTCTTTCTTTTTTTCAGAAAAATTACAAAAGCGATGGAGTACGTTACCCTATACAAATACAGTAAAACGAGTCTATGGCAACCACCCACGGTTTATTCAATAAGTGGTCTTTTAGACATGTGTTTGTACAATACAGATGGTAGTGTAATACCGTATTTCAGTACGTTTTTCGAGCAGTTTTTAGCCATTTCTACTAACCAAAACTCTAGGTGTGCAAAAATAAGCGAATTTTTTTAACGATAGGGCTATACGATTATACCAATACGAGATACTCGGGAGATATGGGCTTGAAAGTGGTTGAAAGTGGCTTTCTATTTCGAATGTTTTGTTCGAATTTGTTCGAATTAAATTTGAACAATGTTGGAATTTGTTCGAACAAATTCGAACAATATTCGAATTAAATCGAACATAAAATTCGAATATTGGTTCGATTATAGAACGATCGTAAACGTTCCAGAAACGTTGAAAATAGTTCGTTTGACTGGACGTGAACAGGAGACGTTCAGAAATAGAATCGGGACCAGGAAGTGTTAATATAAAGCGGCATGCAAGATTTACAGGCGGGTTTTTTGCGCTTTTGCGGGAAATCGAACATATTTTTATGCTCATGTAAAAGTTCTCTGGAAACGCCTGGAAACGGGAGACCTAATTTTTCCATTTTGTGAAAACGGGTAAAATTGGCTATAATGTAATTATCTTAATCTTCACTATCGTTATTTTTTGCCCACAAATAAAAACCCAGCGAAGCGGGTCCTTGCAGCTAGTAAATAAATATAAATAATTTTTTTAACGATGAGATCAGCCCATTAATTGTATAGTGTACAATATTTTATATCCCGAAAGAAAATACTATAGATCTACTGTAAAATAAATTTCGTTTTTCTACATTTAAACTTCCCCGCTAATTGCTGTTGTGATAACTTTAACACGATCTTCTAACGACAGCACTTTGCATTTTTTTCCTTTTCGAAGTGGTTGCTGATTACAGTTGTTGAATGTTGTTTCGGTCCAAAAACGATGCCAGCGGTCGCGTTACACATATGTTTAATACGAGTAACTTATACGAAAACTTTATGGATAAAGTATTCGGTGCCAGAAATTTTTGCCCGTTTTGACAGGTGCCCGTCGAATGCAGGTGGTCGCCCAAGCAGTTTTCACTGTATCTAAATAGATAGCTTAATTGACCTTACTATGTTAATTAACTATAATGTATCAGAATATTTTAAATAAATATAGGATAGTGAAAAACAATCCTGTCAAAATTATTATTTTCATTTTCTATGAAGTTTCCAAATAAATATTTTTTATTTTGTTCATTAGCCGAGTGTTAATGTTTTTCGTATTGCTATTTTTAAAAATATTTAAAAATGTATTGAACAAAATTAACGTTGAAAATATTTTTATAAATACCGAAATTTTAGTTTCTGATGTAAAGCTTTGAACACGCGAAAATGACGTCCTCCTGTCATTTGATTCTGAAATTTATCAAGTGTGACGTAATTCGGATTCTGAAAAACATATTAGATAGCTTATTTAATAAAATAAATATATGTTATAATTATAGGTAACATACATCTTACCTTAATTGCAGCTAACTTCCATATGTACGTATCGTTTACATTATCTATAAAAAACCCACAAATAATAAATGAACAGATTAGATATGATTTAAAGTTCATAAGTATTGGGTTTTAATATAAATAATTTTGTTCTTAGTAATTTCGTAAGTATCAAAATATCACGTTTTACAATATTAGAAAATAACTTTCATCGAAATATATCAATTTAACTGTCTGGTAGTTGCACTCATACAGACTTGGATGTCCTTTACAAAATTTTCTATATTTTAAATTTCATAAAATATCTGAACGTATTTTCAGCGTAATTTAGTATACGACTAACTTCTTTATCCGTATGTCCTGTTGTTGAAATCTTTTTTTGCGCCCGAGTATTTTTATGCAAAAAATGTAAAAAACGTAAAAATAAATTCATAATATAATATTTTTAGGAAAGGCTTGGGCAATGTCTATAGTGATTTTAGTATGTCTTTTCTACTTTTCTTCGTATATGTTCTTTCATTAATTTGTTTTATGGTTGTATTTTATTTCTATCTTTGTTTTTTTAACATTTTTTAAATATGAGAAAAGTAATTTTTCATTTTTTTATCAGAATGATGTAATTTCAAACATTCAAAATTACATATTAATGTGTAAAAAACTGCAAAAATAGGTTACATAGCGTTGATAATGCAGCATTTTTCAAATGAATTTAATTGGTGTGGCATCCAGGAGAACTCCATTAAGGCGTGTTCCTGCATGAATACGATTTTTCTCGCCTCACTTACTGCGAAACGCAACATTATAAATACAGACAATGATTTTGTCGAAAGGAACTGTGCAAACTGTAAAATTCTTATTATTATTTGTATGAGAATCTGAAGACAGTATAATTTTATTTAATACAACAAAAAATTAAAATATTAACTTTATGTTTAAAACAACAAATTTTTATCGATCTCATGAAAAAAGGAAACTAAAGCTTCCTTTGGCAAGATGTAAACGCACATCTCTGACGAACATCAACCGTATTGTGTCTGGACGAATATCCTTGTGATAATACAAAAATTTGAGCGGGTGATTGGAGAAAAATGAAAATATAAAGGGCAGAAATTGCGATTTCAGCGCAGAATTCTATAGATGTAAACTGCCGTAAAAAGAACACAGGCTTTCCTAGAAGTTAGGCATTTCAGCATAGAAGCAGGTGACCCAAGACTTTCATTTTATTCTTCTGGCCGACTCCTCTCCCAGCTGTGAAGAGTCGTGATCGTCTTTTTGAGTTTCGTATAACTCAGATGTGGACACACAGTACAGAGGTATTCTACCTAGATTCATTGTGAGGTCTCTCTCTCGGCATTTAGAATTATACCTGTTTAGTTATCGTTTTACGATAGGTAATTTTTTGTAGTTTTTTATTAAACTTATTAAGCTCTTCCTTTTCATTTGTTATCCTGTCTGTTTCCTTGTTATATTTATATGGAACTTAGTCGATTTATTTACAGCTTTCCACTGAACAGCAATCAGACCCTTTTCTATATATATTATCGCCATCCACTGACAGAGTGAGCGGTTCTAACCGTTTCAACACCACACTTAGGTAATTTAAGTTTTAGTTTTGACTTATGTGTATACTCATATTTACATATCGTTACTAATGCCTGTATTTGATAAAATTATACGGTTTTTCCATATTGCTGTGTAAATTAATAGTTCTGTTTATGAAACAGAGTTTAGAACTACACATACACAACTTACCTTTAATTGCAAAATCCAAGATAGGAAGTGCAGTAGGAACATTAAAAACTCGAAAATCGTTGCCGTAAACAAAATATTTAAAAAAACCAATTTTTTATTAGATCTTCCGAAATATATAATTCTCACCTTTACTTGAAATAACGTTGAAAATTCCGATAAATGAAACACACAGAAAAATGGCTTTCATTTTCGACAGTCACTACTCTAAATTGAACAAATAGGAATCTTTTTTAGTCTGCAAATGTTATAAAAATCAAGAAATGTTATAGCTTATGGAAATGAAATGTAGTTTCAAATTACATTTTTATACTCACAAGTTAAACATTTTTAACTTATAGACAAAATAAACGGTTATTTAAAAAATATTTTATGTATTGTAAATTGTGAATTTATTGCGCCTAAAACAAGATACTCTCCACCACTTTCTAAATCACATTCATCGACCTGTGATAAATAAAATATTTATTTTCTCTCACAGAGTGCTTAATACAAAACAGTTCATAGTGGAATTTAACATCCAAGAATTCTTTACACTGGCTACACTCTTGATTGCACTTTAGAATGAAAAACGTTCAAAATAATAGCATTTTAAAACGTTTTGTCTATTCCAAAACCTCGAAGTTATAATAAAGTAAATATAGGTTTACATCAATTGTGATTACGTTGACATTTTATAAAGAAATGAGTTTTTTCTATATTTGATGCCTAAAATTTACAGTTGAAATAAGTGCAAATGCATGTAAATATTTTTGTAACATTTTACTGTACATGTGCAATAGAAGTTTAACATAAAAGACTGCAAAGATTTATAAAGAAAAAGCAAAAAGAATTGATGTAAAGTATAAACACTTTATGGTATTTATTTCTGAGAAAAACTAAAACAATTAATTTTTGTGTGCAGACATTTGAATTTTCCAAAATAGCTTCAGCATCGCGATATATATCTAAATGCACGAGAATTTAACATACAGCACCTAATCAGCTTCTCTATTAGCCAGATGTTAATTGCGAGGTTTATTATTCTACGTATACATTTGTTGTGGTATTGTAGTGAATGAAGTTTCAATGTAATTAATTGGTAAAACAATCACTTTTAACATGTGCATGGTTTTTCGTGAATTGGTTTGTTTGTGGCATATTTTTACAATTATTGTAAAAGATTTGCAATAGAAACAGTTGACAATAAATCTCTAGAAATTTTTTTTAATTTTACGTTTAGGATATTTTATGTTGTTGTTGAAACGAAAATTTGAATGTCTATTAGTAGGTAGGTCGCGGCCGATGTTTTTATCTCTAAAACGTGAACGTCGAACGTCGAGTGCCGCTTGAGGTTGGACGTTCGGCGTTCACGTTTTATAGATGAAAACTTCGGCCGCAACCTCGCTAATAATTATGTGACGTATTTCTACAGAAAAAGTAATGTAAAAAGTTTGTGTAATCTAATTACTGTAAAATATAAGTAACTCAATTCTACAATCCTATTAAAAAAATAACGTTTTCTATTGTAACAACTCTAACGAACTTCTTAAAATAAAAAACACAAGTAACCACCTAATTAACTAAAATCAAATTTCAAACAAAAACAGCTTTTTAGAAGTTAGATTTTTCTATCTAACTTCTAAAAAATAATTTTTATTTTCGAGATTACACTGTGATAAACCTAAATACTACATCATTATTACAGTTAAAAAGTAATAAGTACAGGTAACCCCCGTATAACACGGTACTTTTATAGCACGGATTCACTCTGACACGGTTCGAAAAATGGGTAAAACCCTCGTACAACATGAAATGTAATAAACTTTTACATACTTAAGCAGGGCCGGATTAACCCACTTTGGGGCCCTAGGCATTTTCTTCTTACGGGGCCCCCTTTCTCACACTAGAAATAGAGCACACAAAAAATATAAAACAATAAATAAAACAAAACTAAATAATGTGAAAAACTAAAACAAATCTTAAATTTTTATTAATAAAAAATATTTAATACACAACAATAAATTTTAGTTTTTCTAGAAAAGTTTGAACAGTTTGTTTATAAATTTAAAATATTGAAATTTGTTTTATTAAATGTCTAACAAAAGTTGTTGTAAAATAACAATATTACCTTAAAAAAAATAATTGTCAACAAGACTATGTCTTGTTTATAAAATCGTACTGCTTGCTGTGTTACCAGCTTAGAGGTATGAAGGAGTACATGTCAGGAGTTGCAATTTGGCACAGAGTATTAAGTGCCCAAATCATGCGCGCATAAAAAAACCTGACT